AAAAAAAAAAAAGAACGCCAAAAGAAAAAAATAAAAGAGAATGATATTCCGTGCGACAACCTCTATACTCCTTTCGGTTCTGGGCTCCTGGCAATGTCTCAACCACGTATGATAACCGTTACTACATTTTAATAACTGTCGCATCCATTGTGACTAACGTTTATACTATTTCGTGCGAATGGAAAAAACCCTTTTCTGCTGTCTTCACTTGTTTTATACTACTATTTGTGTAATGTATGACCCTTCAAATACACCCTTCCCCCGTTTTTTCCTATATGGTAGGTAAATGAATTCGGCACATCATGGAAACATTCGGCCAAGCAACATGACACTGTCGGTGTGAGGATCAGTAGATTACTAACGGTTGAGGTGTATGTGCAAGCACCACCACCACATAATACATTGCTCCTCAGTCCTGGTAAGGGTCCACCTACAAAAGTCGCATCGAAGCAGAAGCCAGGACAGTCCGGTAAACCAACATCGAAGGTTGGTGACGAAGGGTCGTTACCGCAATCCCCAAAGAATGGTGCACAAAGTGAACAGAAGGAAAAGACGCCAAAACGAACTGAAGTGAAGAGTGTAACGGATAAGCACACACCAGAGCAGAATAATGCACGGCCCGTTAATCCTATTGGAGGCCCACTGAAAACAACTGCGCAGCGTGGGAAGTGCGCAAAACCAGATTCTAAGGTTGGGACACATGTGCCATTACCAGCATCATGGATTAAAGCACAAGTTGAAGCAACGACAAAGAAACTCCGAAGACTCTTCAGTGCATGGAAATATACTATAATTATGAATAACTATTTGATTATGTTCTTTCTGGTTCTTTTTATTCCTGTTACAGCTGTATCCATCCTTCTGCTATTCCTAAAGGGAGAAAGGAAGACTTTTATATTAGCAGTTGCTGTCACAGTAATCCTAGGAACTATGTACTTGATCATGTTATTATGATCCCTCCGCAGAAACAAAAAAATTTGGCATGCCGAAACAAAATTTGACTGGAAGCATTTCCCACAAACAAGACAAGAATGTAGAAGTACTTTGTAAACTGGAAGAACCTGAAAAAACAAAAGT